TTTTTTTTTGTGGGAGAGGTTAGGATTGGGGTTGAAAATAATAATGTTTCATGTAATTGCGTCGACACCACTAGATTTTCGRATGTTTTGATAGCTAAGACGTCGTCGCATCTATATAGGTTGGGTGATCCCCCCCCACACCAAGCGTCTGAGATTATGCCCACGGGGGCGCGCATGGATCCGGTTCTTATGAATAGGTTTCATCCTCAAACTTTATACAAGACGAAAATATTTTTATAGGTATTTTATCATTATTGTTTGTGAATTATAATGATAATAATAACCGTTCGAACGACTTGTGTCCACCTTTCCATCCCCTCAACACAATAGATCACTCTTGTGARTTMTTATTTACTTTCCCCGGGTCGAGATTTTGTGCCAGTTGATGCACTACATGCCGTAATAATTATTTAAGAAAATTTAATGCATCTATTATCGTTTAAYTCTTAATTAGTGAACGATTTTATTCAGTATGTGCTTTAAATTTCTGTCACATATTATCTGTCCATCGCGAATTTTGCTCTGTCTAGGACACCACAACGTCATTATTGATTTTTTTTGAATTTTCGTTTTTGTACCATTATTGAAACACAAACAATTGCACTAAAATAACTAGCAACCTTGCCTCTCAAACTAGTGCTTAAAATGCATTATGCGTGAGAATTTTTCCTCATTATTGATTTAATCATTGATCATTTAATTATACGCCCAGTTGGTACCTGATATTGAATAAAAGTTACATTGATATTTGGTAGTATCTATTTTTTTTTTTCATAAAATTTAAAAACCACCAAAATATCTATCATGAGTTGCTTACAAATAGTTYTAAAAATTATATTCCACAATGGAATGAGAGATGTTACTATATTAGTCACGTAACACGTTACGAGCATAAATATTTTATTTTTATATCCTTGTTACTGAGATCTATGAGAAAGTATTTCATCTCAGTATGTATTTCAGTCATAATTTTTATATATATATATATAATAGAAATATTGTACAGTAAGTCAGTAACATAATTTAATATTTCCATGGGAATTAAAATCTTGCAATATTTGACTTTGGATATCGTTGTAGAGTAAAAGGTCATGAACTTAGAAATACGAGTTAATAACAATATGTATGCTATATTGGATTTGTTCTAAAAATTCGTAATAAAATATAAAATAATGGATGGAATGGTTGAAATATTCAAATGCAGTGATAAGTCGTTAAATCCAGAAGATAGGTTTCTCTGAAGCTAAAAATTTGTTAATAAACTGCTGAGTTTGATTTTTAGGTATTTTTTTTGTTTTTTTTTKAAATATTTCAAAATAACCCTTTAAAAATAACAATTGTGTTTAATTCCAAATCTATGTGCTTATTGGCTATTTTMAAATCCTAAACTTATAGGTAGTAGCTAGTTTACCAACACAAAAACTGTTAATCGGATGAAAACTATGCATCACTATAAATTATAATATAACTTACAATATAGAATCTCTCGCAGCAGATCCTAGAGCGATATTTATGATTGAAAATKTTTTCAATTTGTACGCAGGCGAAAGCAAGAAGAAGTGATTTTATTGGAAGAGAAAATCCGGCAACGCAGTGAACAGCAAAAAAAGGCAGGCATTGAGTTGGACGCAACTTGTCATATATGCCTGAAGACCAAATTTGCCGACGGTGTCGGACACCTGTGCAACTATTGCGGTATCAGATGTTGTGCCAGGTGTGGTGGCAAGGTTACCCTGCGTTCGAGCAAAGTTAGTATTTCATTAGTTCTCATATTATATAGGAATATATAAAATAAAATATTTTAATACCAGTTACCCTAATTTGTGTAATGGATTATGGTGATGATGTGTTTAGGGAAATTATATACGACCATTAGCCGCACTATGATGGAATGGGCGAATATAATGKAAATAATTGTTCACAAAGCCAAAATAGTTTCTAAAAAAATCCTTAATTTTAATTTTGATTTTAAATTATTAATAGATTGAAATTCAATATCCWATCATACATTTTAACTCGTTTTTTAACTACAGTCTACAAGYCATTTAAATGTTTTTCTGTGTCCTTTTTCAGTTTATCACTTTGTGATTATTTGCAAATAATTTAAAACAGAGAATCATTTGTACCTACTTCTGTACCTATATATTTTATGTCCTGAGACTTTCAAACAGTAAAAGATTAATTATTAAAATTAATTCATACAAACGTTTAATATAGACAATAATATTTATTTAGTGTCTATCACTTTAATTTTTTATGCAATATTTTAAAAGCTTAAATAGGTATTTCACTAAAAATAGTTCTAATTTTTTTTATTAATGGTTTATAGTTCGGTACCTAGTTATTACTATATTTATATTTATATTGTTTGATCAAAAACCACATATTTCAACAGTACCTTAGGTAGTTAAAATGAATCAACTATCGCGTCAATGTTGTGTTAGAAATATTTTTTGAACACAGTTTACTMGTAGTTAATACTTTATACAATAGTTATATTAATATGTGAGTTTTCAATTTAGAGCATATATATGTAAATGTAATAGTATTTATACCTATAATATGATGTTATATGAAAAGAGTCAGTGACTTAATTCAATCAATCAAGGGCAAAAAAATAAGTATAATATTTTCATGGTTCACAATTTAAATATACCTTATTTTATTTAAAGCAAAAATGTATTCAGTCATATCTCATATCAAATTTAGTATTTAAGATTATGACTGTTGGGTTTATTATTTTAACAAGGTAGGCACCTACAAACAACTATTAATCCGCAGTTTCAAGTCCATTATACTATCTTGTCTCGTGATTTTTATTTAAATTCTAAAGTTTATTCACATGCATGCGTACATGGTTCTAAAACTCAAAGTTAAAATATTGATTCGTTATTACACTTTTAAAATTACTAATATATTAACTCATAATGTTATTGTTTTGTATTAAGTATAGWATGGAGTWTATTATGATTTCAAGTTTTTATTCAATTCTTATCAATTCCATAATTCAATTCAAAACTGTTATTTACCCTRAAAAAATGTGGGACAATGTTAACTGCTAAAGTATGTAAAGTGGGACATATTGATTTTAAAATGAGGGCTTCTATTAATAATATAGAATTGTATATTGTTCCTAATGCATTAATGCATTATGTTAACTTTAACTTGAAAAGGTTGCTTATAACTTTTTTTGTACAATATACAAAAATGTATTGTTCGAAATGATGTGACTATTTCGAAATACATACCCTACAAAGCTATAAAAGAATAAGAGTGCTATTTGTTTGGCAACTTATCACAAAAACTGAGTTTTATAGAACTTGTCGAAAATAGTTTGGCATTCGATAGGATAATTTTTAGATTTTTTTTTACATTTCCAATCATAATGGAAAGATAGAATTATGGTCATTTAATGAAATGTGTACGTACTTATATTTCTATTATTAAGTTACGGTACTTTATCGACGCCGAYTAATCATGAACTGGACAGGTCATTCTTATACAATATTAAAAATACGAATTTAAGTTATTGGCTATTTAAAAAAAATCTTTATTTTAACCTTTGAAATAATTAAGCCATTGTCCATTAATATCATCTGAAAAATGCCATACCTAACACACGATTTCGCTTCAGGACAAATAATTTTAGGATGACCGACCAAAATTTAAACTTCATTTGAAAATACAGAATACTGTCCTGTTTTATTAAACATGTCTCGAGTATTTAAAAGTTTTGCGTTACGACCTTCCCTAAAACTACAATTATTCTTTTCAGAATTCAAATCCTTGTTTCTAACAWACCCCGAGAAAATTTCTATAAACCAAAAAATTTATTTCCCTTCACTTCAACTTCAAGATGTTGAGAAATCTTTATAAAATACTTGGGAATTATACTGAATAAATAAGTAGTGAGTAATMATTAACTTAAAGCCCGAGCCGAAAGTCCAAACGCAAAATACTTAATAACCATCTTCACCAGATACGTCTTATATTTAGATCCAAACTTTCAGTCCATACTGTACAAATCTTAACTGAGACTCAATTGGACTTATGGTAGGTATATTTACATATCTGAGGTATGTCATACTATCTAAGATTTCCGTCTATCCCTCTTCACCTAATAACCTTGCCACTCTGGTACGTATCTAACAAATCTTTACACAAAAACTTAAAAATTAAAACTGTTGAACATCTAACCAAAATCCATTACGATATATAGGTTACACATAAAACTTGAAAAATATCCTAATTTTTTAGTCTYTCACCTATCATCACGCAATCTTCCTGATAATCCACCACGCTWCATTAAAAGGCTCTGGTGCAGTGACCTATTAAATGAGTTGATTCTAAACGTATTCTGTTCTGAAGGGTTTCATCACTGAAAGATGGCTTCCTTCATCTTGTGTTTCTATGTTTTGTCACCATCATGAATATGTTATTCAATATATTTAATAATTATGTTAAAAAYACAGATTGAAARCTTTTTTTTAAGATAAAAAAAAGTTATTGATTTTAAAATTATATTTGTATAATACACAGAGTAGATTAGTTTAAATAGAAACAGCCATTAAAATTATCATAGAATTTTKTTTTAGAAATTCTGTGTTAATCAATGTACAATACACACGTTGAGTTAAATCGTTAAATGTATTGTATAATTACACCTATGAAAATCTATTTCATTTATTAGTAATAAATTAATAACTCAATTTGACATCGTATTATAGAAAATATAATAGCAAACMAGTTATTTTTAWATTTTTTTAATAAATATAATATATTATTTATATTTTGTTCAAAAAACTATAACAATCTAGTAGTTGTTTTTTGACAATTAAGTACCAACCCCTATACAAAACATCTTCTTAAAAAATAAAAGAATAAAATAGATATATGAAACACGGATTAAATAAAATAAACTTAGAAACAATTCTGATTTTCCAAAAAAGTGAGTCATTGGCTCTTTTATCTAAGTAACTGGCATCTATATAAAAAAGTACCTAGCTTCAGGCGTGGTTATAARCCTCGCCCATGCGCATGCCTATGAAAGTATCATAAATTCATAAGATATTAAAGTAAAATTGCTTCGTGTCATAT